CCATGTGACTCGACAACACGCGTGACCTATGTGACTCGACAACACGTGTGATCCATGTGACTCGACAACACGCGTGACCTATGTGACTCGACAACATGTGTGACCCATGTGACTCGACGACACGTGTGTAACTCATGTGACTCGACAACACATGTGTGCCCCATGTAACGGGTCCTGTCCGCCTGGCTGTCTTGGAAGCCTCTGCATCACAGGCTGGTTTAATGTTTACTTGATAATAAAACTCTTCCCTAAGTTTGTGGACAGGATTGCTAGGTGGGCAGGAGATCCTGTCTAACTGTCTTCCTGATGTTTCCAGGCCCAGCAGCCACCCTCCCCCGCCAACACCTGCTTCCAAATCTGCCCTCCTACAGCAGCCTCTGTTCATTGTGCAGCAGATAGGCGGCCACGCCTTCAAAACCCTGTGCTCTCTGAAAAACACCCTGCCAGTTACTACCGTTGGATGAATCTGACATGGAGAGACCCAAAGTGAGGGGGCCTGCGTCAGAGTCAGGCAGAGCCTCTGCGCTGGGGACCCTCCACCTGACCGGGGCCCCCAGACCCCTGCCGCTTCCACACTCTGCTCTTTCATCCCCACGAGAGACACTTAATAACAGAGCCATCCGTAGAGCCTTTCCTAGAGCCCCTGTGGCTTTTCCCAACCTGACCGCGATGCAGACCCTCCAGGGCGTTGACCGGGTGCAGCCCACGGGGCCCACCCAGCAGGCGGACAGCGCACGCACGGACTGGGTCCTGTTACCCGCACACAACTGCACCCTCCGGAGGCTCGGGCTCCAACACTCAGGACACCCCACACCAGCCCAGGGGAGCCTCCCGTGTGGCCATCTGAGCCGAGAGCGCTGCGGAGCCCCAGGACCAGCCATACCTGTGACCCGTACAGTTGGCCCCCTCCTGTGACTGTGTCCACATAACCGCTAGTCCCAGAAAGCTGCCAGGTCACTGCCACCACAGGAACACGGTAGCCCCTCCCAGCACATAACAGCCAGTCAGCACGGGCTTATCAGCTCCTTCCAGGACAGGCTGGACAGCCAGAGAGGACAGGCCGAGGGGGTAGGGGACTGTGCTTCCACTCCCTCAGCCGCACCTGCAGGCACTGAGCGGGGAGTCCATGACCAAGGCGCACGGGGCACAGTCCATGTGGCTCTGCAGGCGGGGGTGGGGAGAAGGAGGGGCCACAAGGGTGTGAATGCAGATGGCCCAGAGCCACATGTCCCCCAGCAGACCCCGCGAGGAAGGCCTCGGAGCTGTGGGGCCCTGGAGCCAAAGGATCACCGGGTGGGGAAAGTCGGATATGAGCTGAGACGGTGCAGGGCTCCAAGGGTCCAGGAGAAATGCTGGGGTGGAATGCCGGGGAAACGGGCCACAGAGGGTGTCGGAAAGTGATCTGGTGTCACTCAAGCAGCTGGAGCGGCAAGAGGGGCAGTGGCTCCCCACACATCTCTGGACCTCAGGAGGTGAGTGGGTGAGGGAGGTTCCTGGCAAGACGCCCCCTCCCAGGAGCACCACCTGATGGGGATTCGGAGCCCTCCGAGGCATCCTGGGGGGCGGCATCCGCTTTCTTTCCCCAGGAGCGTTTTCTGGTCCCTCTGGAACTTCATTCATCCTCACCATGATCCCAAAGGGGCCTCAGACCCCACTTACAGACAAAGGAACTGAGGCATATGGGGCCCAATGCTTCCCCGACCATTTAAAAATGTTTTTTATTCAGATACAATTCACATCCTA